CCATGGCCAGTGAGGGTCTGTATGATCTGACTGCTGCTCCATTGCTTTGAGGGGTATGTGAAAATCTCTGACTTGGGAACTGGGTACTGCACTTTCATGTTTTTCAGGTGGGTTTTGGATTCTAGGTGATCCTTCCTGGGATGAGAAATCGTTTTTCTTCTTTTGCATCATCACTAATCTTAAAAACAATGATGGCTCAAATCTTAAAAACATCATCGTTGGCAATGATGGCACAAATATAGAGAAAACACTAAGAAATAGAAAACAAGGGTGGATTAGATATGTAATAGGCCAGTCATTTTCCTTATGTATTTGGTTAACTTTATTTAAGAAAATTAATGTTTATTCATTTTTTGAGAGAGACAGACAGACAAGGAGTGTGTGAGGGGCAGAGAGAGAAAGGGTGACACAGAATCTGAAGGAGGCTCTAGGCTCTGAGCTGTCAGCAGATTGCCCAGTGCAGGGCTGCAATCCACCGACTGTGAAATCTAGACCTGAGCAAAAGTCAGCTACTTAAGCTACTGAGCCACCCAAGTGCCCTGTATTTGGTTAATTTTTTTAATTAATTTTTGAGAGTTTATTTATTTTTGAGACTGAGAGAAACAGAGCATGAAAGGGGAAGCAGCAGAGAAAGAGGGAGACACAGAATCTGACACAGGCGCCAAGCTCTTAGCTGTCTGCACGGAACCCGCTGCAGGGCTTGAACCCACAGACCACAAGATCATGACCCGAGCTGAAGGTGGATGCGCAATCAACTGAGCCACCCAGGTGCCCCTATATTTGGCTAATTTTGAATGTGGATTCTCCATGGACATCCCAGGAATAGAAGATGGGATTCTTTGGGTTACCTTGGAAGCACTGTTTTAAACAGAAAGGTGAAATGGATTCATTAAGTTGTACATCCTCTGCTCTCCTAGATCTGAGTCTGACCTCAAGACCGTGTCAACATCAACTTGGGCCACTCAGTAGGTAGAGCTGCCAGGAAACCTGTTCTCTGAGGTGTTCCAAGAAGGGAGGACCAGGGACTGCTGTGGAGGCATGGAGGGCAATTTCATGGCCTACCAGGTCATTTTTGACAGAATCTGAAGGGAAAATTCGGTTAGGCTTTGCAGGCTCTATTTAGGCAGAGGGTTTCTTCCCAATGCAAATTCAGGGGCATCTGACCTCTGTGCCCACAACGTTGGCCCCAAATTATGGATCAGGAATCCGAGTGGAAGTGGTGTCTTAGAAGGGCCGCTGGAGGTGGGAATGATGCACCTGGTTGAGCCAAGCTTCACGGCTGGTGCTGTGGAGCCCTGGGCAGGTGAAAGAAGCGCGTGCCTGCAGGTTTTGGTCCTGAGGGGGCGTCTGTGCTACCAGTCCCCTGTGTGCATGTGCAGCACTCGGTGGAAACCTCTATCTGCGCAGGTGATGAGGGGAGCCATTACCCAGAGTAAAGTCTGGGCAAGTGAGGGTACAGTTTCACTGGTGTCTTCGGCACCCGTGCAAAAGTGAGTGGTGAGGGGCAGCGAAAGACGTCACACTGACTCTTCTGCCCACATTGCAAGTGGGCAAGAACGTCGAATAGGCCTTGTGAGGATAGTGGTCAAAATGGAAGGTGATACTGTGTGGTAGTAAATGATGAGCTGATGTACATTCGCATTTTCAAGGGTTAATTTGACTGTTTAATTGATCTATTGAGATGGTTAGGCATGTTCCACGTGTAGGAGGCAGTGGTAAGGTTTTGACTGAGAGGAGGTGGAAGCAAAGGAAGAAGAGTGTTGGATTGGATACACATTAAGCATTTCCCGTATGTTTGGAAGGCCTAGTTGACCGTGATTGTTCTTAAGGTCATTTTCTTCTGCTCCAGTGCAGTTACTGCTAATTCAGTCTCAGTTTCCTTACAGAGCCTTCCTTACTAGAGCCACTTCAGGATGTGACACCCCTATTGAACTGTTTGATCCTATCAAACCTAGTTGGTAGGATATTATGTTGTGTTTGTTTTAAATGTTTGCAAGGGAAATCTAAACATAGTTCCAACCACAGTAAAAAATGCACAGTCATGATGATGCAAGTCTCCTCTCCCAGAACCACCCAGTTAAGTCACATGCGTACATACCAAAGATCACATTTTATGATGTCTGTGACAGAAGGAGACAGGTATGTTCAACTCGGGAAGCATACAACAAGTAACTGTATGAACATAGATGTCTTAACAATTACTGTGGTGTATGATGTGTTTGTGTGTGTGTGAGATCCATGTCTACTGGTGTGAAAATATCACCTTCAAGTAGCATTGATTAAGAAAAGCAATTTGATTGAGAATAAGTTGGTGACAATATTTACATTGAACCAACCACAAGATATTTAGTACTTATGTGTTAAAAAATTTCGAATGCTATTAAACATACACTCTGAATTTGTATAAGAGGGAGGATCCACCTCTACTTGACAAATGGTGTTATCTGAAGATCTAACTATTGTTGGTTGGCAGAAATCAATGGGTTTTACTTTATTTAAATATTATAAGCATAGAGTTTACAATTTTTATATTATAATTAATGATATACCTAATGAAGTTACTTTCTATCACTACCATAACCAATCATGTATTTAGGAGCTAATAAAAACACAATTGCTTGTTAGTAAATGAATTTCAGTGGCCTTGGCCTTACTTTCTGTAAAGGATTTCTGTATATATTTGACAAAATTCATTTCAAAAATAATTGACTTCTATGTACTAAATTTTGACCACATCAGCACACAATCCCATGCACAAAAGATTATTATGTAGCTCAGGGAGTAAGAAGCAATAAACAGAATTAATTTTCATGTCCATGCAGACACCACATGAATATACAAATCCATAGCTTTATTTTTTTAAATGTTTTACTTCTTTCTGAGAGAGGCAGGCAGCATGAGCAGGGGAGGGTCAGAGATTAAGCAGGCTCCAGGCTCTGAGCTAGCTGTTAGCACAGAGCCCGACGCAGGGCCCTACCCACGAACCGTGAGATCATGACCTGAGCTGAAGTCAGACGGTTAACCAACTGAGCCACCCAGGCACCCCAACAAATCTACAGCTTTAATGTAACACAAACAAATCATAAGGACAGTACTGGTTACCTTTCTCCAACATGAAATGATTAATGTGTCCTATTTAGTGAATATGTATATAATGTATTGCCAGAATCCTGCTTCAGCCAGTCCAGGGATCACTGAAGGATGGACAGTGTCAGCAAGAGAGTGATGAGAGAGAGGGTCTAGAGATTGTTTCTAGTCACCAGGCAGGCATCTCTGCTCAGTCTGGGTTCTCAACTTCATATGTGAAGGTACAGGGAACAAGAAAAGTGGCATTTGCCTTAGTAGATGATGTTTACAATGTTTCCAGCATAGCCTTGACAAAAACCTTTTACCAAGAAACAAACAGAATTGTATACATAAAAGTCAATCTTTTATGAGTAAGGGTCATTAATCTATTTATAACTCAAGGGAACTATCAAGAAAAACAGGATCTGCCAGACACAATGTCTGCTCTCACCTCAAAAGAAGGTATCTTTAGCATTAGCCACAGTGCCCATAGTTCCCACGTCATCCAGGCCCAGGAATAGGGTGTTAGTCTCTTTGGGAATATTATTTTATTATTGAACTAAGGGCAGGATCTGACCTTTCAAAATTATCAATTACTTAGTTCTAATCATGATTCACAGGCCACTGAACTTTAATGTCTCTCCATATCAAAGTCCTTAACCAGATGAAATCATACCAGGGCCAGAATAAGGGAACAAGCCATTCCTGATCTCAATTAACAAAGCACTCCAGGGTACAGTGCTCCAGCACAAACGATAAGAAAAGGGGCAGCTAGTGGTTGCCACCCAATGGGGGGGCACCTTGCAAGCCTGCCTTAACCTCACAAGTATTCTCAGCTAGTGACTTCAGTATGGCTCCCAACAATGTATAAATCCTTAAGTCACATGTACTGTGTCTAAAAAGTGTAAGCCAGGTAGACTATAAGGTTTTCCCATCTAAAGATGTACATTTCAAGAAAGAACCCAAAGGGAAGTAAACCCACTATCAAAAGTATTGCGAAGGTGATCCAAAGGTGGATCACTTGCAATAGCATACAAAGAAAAAGTCCCCAGAAATTAATATTAGAAATTTTAGAGTGGTGTTATGGTAATGTGCCTGAAAAGACAAATAACTTATTTGGGGTCTGAAAATATCAGAGAACAATGTAAATTAAATGACCTGTGAAAGGGGGGGGAAATGCAATGTATTACATCAAGAAGTTAGCAAATCAAATACTGTGAAAAAGATTTATTAGCCTCTACAAGTTGGATTTGATAAACTATTGGCTACTTGTTACAGTAGAGTACCAAGATTTTCATTGCAACAGTATTTTCCCACACTCATCAAAACCTCAAAGCAATAGGTCTTTCTCGACGTGGCATTCAGGGTTCTTTTTTTTTCTCCAACCCTCAAATCAAAGGAATGGTTTTTGAGTATCAACTAGCCAGTTAGGGGACTCCTAAGATACAGGTGTTCATCAACATTACACAAGCTACAATTCAGGTACCTGCACAAACACCACCAACATGAATGGAAAAATGTGTTGGTTTTAAGTGTTAAACACTGTAAGAGTGACATGAACACACTATTGGTGTCCTTCCCAAACAAAAATGGGGGGAACCTTATTGGCTTTCTGCCCAACACCACGTAACTAAAAACACTGCATGAGGTGACCCCTCTATTTTATAAGGACGTTCGCTGTGTCTTCTTACAGTCTTTGGCTTAAAGTCTATTTTGTCTGATGTAAGCATGGCTACCCCCACATTCTTCTGTTTTCCTTGGTGTGGAAGATCCTTTCCCATACCTGCACTTTCAGCCTGAGTGTGTTCCCACAGCTGAAGTGAGTCTCCTGAAGGCAGCACATACTGTTAGTTTGTGAACCTCTGTCCTTTCAGCCAATATATCTTTTGACTGGAAAATTAGTCCCTTTATACTTAAAGGAAGTATTGAAACACGTAAGGATAGTTACTCTTGTCATTCTTTTCAATGCTTTTAGCTGTTTTAGAGTTATTGGCCTTTTTCTTACCCACTTGCTCTTTATCTTTTTGTTGGTTTTCTAGAGTGGTGTACTTTGATTCCTTTCTCTCTCTTTTGTGTATCTCCTACAGACCTGGGCTTTGTGGTTACTAGGCTTGTCTCCTTTAAGTTGCTAACACCTTCATTTTGCATTCTAAACTCTTTGAGACCTGAGGTAATTCTTAAAAACTCTGAATGTACAATCCAATATCCTTTTAGGAAGAGTTAGCTATTCTTTCTCATCTGTGAAGACTTCAGTTCAACCACATGAACTGATATTCTCTACTTCTAACTATTGCTGTTATTACGTTGCCTCCGTATGACTGCCACCTCTTGTTCCTTAAAAGCCAATAAGTAAACCATTTTATCTGTAACATTCAGAATCTCTTTTTTAGTTTTAATAAATGGACAAGAATTTTCTTGGACGTTCTGAACACCTAGTTCATAATAACTTACATCAATGTCATAAGCATCAACAACATTTCTATTTAGATTCTTTTCATAGATTGTACATCATGTTGTCCTTCATCTTCCACAGAAAATCAGGTATACAGGTGTCCCACTGAAGGAGGAAGGGTATCGGGTATCTTTGATGCATAAAGATTAGCCATATACTTTCACACACCCACTGGGAATAAATGAAGTTTCTGAAGTGATTTGAGAGCAGAAAGACATTAATACTTGTTTGTCAACATCTTAAATAGGGCCAAAGTAAAACAAACACACATTGAATTTAATGACTCCTACTTAAAAATCCACCCCTTGTATATTTTGAGGCATACCAGCAGATAGATTAACTAAGTGTTCAACTTTTTTTTATCCCATAAAGTTAAGGATTTTTGTGGAGAAAAATGTCTGAATAGTGTGACCAATGTACTCCTTTCTACTGTCAATTCTGTGACAGTTGATCAGGTATTTTATCTTCATCTAAAAAATATTTTATCTTTCAAGTTACTTTCTTAGCTGTATGCTGATGTTTCCTAAAGTGTATATTTAAAAAGGTCTTTCCTTATTCATACATTATCTCAAGTATGCTTTTGGGCATACTGAGTCACAAGTGAATTCCAGTTAAAGACGCAGTCACTCTCTTTACATTTTACAGTTTCACTCCTGTATAAATACCTGTGATGCTGAAGGAAGTTGTGAGTTCCAGCCAGAGGTTTGCCACATTCATTACATTTGGAACGTTTCTCAACAGGAAATGTGATCATTAGTAAGGCTTGAACAGTCTGAAATGTTTTACCACTTTTTTAAAAAAGCGTTTGAATTGATTATTTGGAGCTTTACTTTTTTAAAGCTTTTTAAAAATGTTTTATTTATTTTTGAGAGAAAGGGAGACACAGCATTCAAAGGCAAGTTCCAGGTTCTGAGTTAGTTGTCTGCACTAACAGACTGACTGCACTAACAGGCTGACTGGAGCTCGAACCCACGAACCATGAGATCATGACCTGAGCTGAAGCCAGACACTCAACAGACTGAGCCACCTAGGCGCCCCCACATTATTTTAAAGTTTTCTCTGTAGTAGGACCTCTATGATGTTGAATGAGGCTTGGGTACTGATTAAAGGGCTTGCCAAATTCTATTTATAAAATCATCTCCCGTATGTAGTCTCTGATGAGGAATGAGGGTTTAGCATTGATTTCAGGTCTGGCACATTCCCAAATGTTTATCATTCCTTTCCAGTATGAATTATCAGATGTGGAATAAGAGTTGAGGAGTCCTTACACATTCTGTCATAGTCTTAACATTTATAAGGTTTGCTCCAGTATGAATTCGGTGTTATAAAGCAAAGATTGAACAGTGATGAAAAGTTTTCGTACATTCTTTGTATTGGTAAGGTTTATCTCCAGCATGAGTTCTGTGATGTTCAGTCAGGGATGAGTGCTGGGTAAAGGCCTTGCCACATTCTTTACCTTTGTAAATCTCTCTCCACTATGAACTCTGTAATGTCCAGTCAGGGTTGAGAGGTGCCTAAAAGCTTTGCCACATTGTTTACATTGGTAAGGTTTCTCTCCAGTGTGAATCCTGTGATGTTGAGTCAGGGATGCATGCTGGTTAAAGGCCTTGCCACATTCTTTACACTGGTAAGGTTTCTCTCCAGTATGAATTCTGCGATGTCGTGTAAGGTGTGAGTGCCCTTGAAAGGACTTGCCACATTCTTTACATTGGTAAGGTTTGTCTCCAATATGGATTTTGTGATGTTCAGTAAGGTTTGAGCGGTGAGTAAAGAACTTCCCACATTCTGTACATTGGTAAGGTTTCTCTCCAGTATGGATTCTGTGATGTTCAGTAAGGCTTTTGTGGCGGTAAAAGGTTTTGCCACATTCTTCACACTTGTAAGGTGAGACTCCAGTATGAGTTTTGCGATGTTCTGTAAAGGTTGAGAGGAACCTAAAGGCCTTGCTACATTCTTTACATTGATAAGGTTTCTCTCCAGTATGAATTCTTTGATGTTCAGTAAGGCTTGACTGGCGGTAAAAGGTTTTGCCACATTCTTTACATTTGTAAGGTTTCACTCCAGTATGAGTTCTGCGATGTTCCGTAAAGGTTGAGCGGTATCTAAAGGCCTTGCCACATGCTTTACATTGGTAAGGTTTCTCTCCAGTATGGATTCTGTGATGCTTACTAAGGGCTGAGGGCCAGTGAAAGGCCTTACCACATTCTTTACACTGGTAAGGTTTCTCTCCAGAATGGATTCTGTGATGTCGATTAAGGCCTGAGGGCCAGTTAAAGGCTTTGCCACATTCTTTACATTGGTAAGGTTTCTGTCCTATATGGATTCTGTGATGTGGAATAAGTTCTGAGGCCAAATTAAAGGCCTTGCCACATTGTTGACATTTGTAAGGTTTCTCTTCAGTATGGATTCTGTGATGTCTACTAAGAGCTGAGTGATGGGTAAAAGCCTTGCCACATTCCTTACATTGGTAAGGTTTCTCTCCAGTATGAATTCTGTGATGTCGAGTAAGGATCGAGTGCTTGTTAAAGGCCTTGCCACATTCTTTACATTGGTAAGGTTTCTCTCCAGTATGCATTCTGTGGTGTGGAATAAGGTCTGAGGGCCAGTGAAAGGGCTTGCCACATTCTTTTCATTGGTAAAGTTTCTCTCCAGTATGAATTCTGTTGTCTTCTGTAAGGGTTGAGATCTGGTTAAAGACATTGCCATAGTCCCTATGTTTATAAGGCTTTTCTGTAGTATGAGTTACCAGATGTTGAGTAAGGACTGAGCACAATTTAAAGGTTTTGGCACATTCTTCACATTTGTAAGGTTTCTGTCCAGTATGCATTTGCTGGAGGTCAAATGCTTTGACACATTCGTTACCTATACACCTTTCCTCTCCAGTACCAATTGTCTTATGTGTATTTAGTTTTGATGAATGACTAAACATGTTCCCTGGTTTATTACCTCTGTCATGGATTTCTCCCTCATGAATCCTCTGATGATCGCCAACATTGGAGGACTGGTTAAGAATTTTCCCACATTCATTATATTTGTAAGGATTCTTTCCTGTAGGGATACTCTTGTGTGTAATAAGGTTGGTGCTTTGATAAGAGACTTCCCCATATTTATTACATTCATAATCATTCTCTAGAAAAGGAGTCCCCAGATGTCTTTGATGGCCTTCACTCTCCGAATCCTTGTTCCAGTCTGTCATTAAGTGTCCTTTCTCAAGGGAACTATGTTTGTAGCTACTCATTGACACTTTTTGGGAAGAAGCTTCTAGGCATGGCTTTGGCAGGAATGTCTGGGTGTCATGTGAAAATATAGCTGAAAGAGATCAAATAATAGAAAGTAAAATCATTCTAGGTACTACTCTCAGATGAATGTACTGACAACTTCTGATAAATAACCTTAAAATCAATCAGCAAACATCAGAAAGATAGCTGAGAAGAAATCACCAGGACTTCACTCTTCCATGGACACATAAACTTGCACACAGGGACTGACCACAAAGCTTAATAGACAATTCCATAACATATCTTGCTGTAGCAGAAATCAACTTCTTATATATCAGAAAATCAGGAAAAGGACCTAGGGGCTCAAAATTAGCAGAATAAAGGAAATTTAAACCTAAAACAGAAATGGAGAATAGAGGCTATAGCAAAAATAGGAAAAATCAACAATGGGAAAAGTTGATGTTCAGAGCAGCCCCCCAAAATTATCAGAGCTATATCTGGTCAAGTCAGAATGATATAGAGAAGTTTAACTAAAATCAGAGGTGAAGAAGTGAAGGCAGACACAGTATGTGAAACCATTGAAATAAAAATATAGGACCACAATAGATAATTATATGGCAAGAAGTAGATACCAAAGAATGGCTATGAATTTCTAAAATGGTGAAACCTACCTGAACTCCATCATGAAGAATATCTATCTATCTATCTATCTATCTATCTATCTATCTATCTATCTATCTATCTATAAGTGTCTTCAACACATCATAAAACATTTGGGTTACTGGGAAAAGAAAGGTGCATTTTGGCACACTATTGAAGTTCATTTAGGGAGTAGAGCACAAGACCAGGCATGTACCCCACTGGCATTTTGACAAACCCTTCCCCCCATAGCCTTGAGAATTATACGAGTACTCCTGTCAGAAAGCAGCTCCTGCCCAAGATTTTGGAGGAAAAATCATTTTCCTCTTTTCCATATCCAAGAAATGATTTATGAAACAACTGTGCCTCTGATTTGAAAGAACTAGAAAGAGGTAAATTTCCTCAGATTTGGAGTGTCACGAGGGGAAGTTGGTGCAGCAACATGTGGTAAGAGGGCTTCATTACTTACAAAGGGTGGTCTGCCTTGCACATTCGTTCCCTGCAGGCCTGCCACGGCAGAATCATTGGTTGCCAGGACAAGAGGCAATACTGGGGCCCAAGCCTTCATAGACTGGGGAGGAGTCATTGGGATGAGGTAGGCTGTGGGCAAGAGGCATCTCAGTTTCTAGGGAAGAAATTGCTAGTGGATCTTGGTCTCCTCATGGTGGTTCTCTGTGGCTTTGGGCACATTTTAAATGCAACAATACTGGGCAGGATATTTTTGAAAACCTGTCAACAGTTGCAGTATAATGAGGACTATGGACTAAGGGGAGAATCCTGGTTATTGCTGTATTGGAATAAACAGTATTTTCTTAGGTAACACTTCCATACTTACTTTCACATTTTTAATAGATACCACACTCCTATGGATCAGAATCTTAAAATGATAGAAAAGTCTTCCTCCTATTACGATTATAAAATTATTATCCATATAATTATCCATGTATCCACCTATTCCTACTCTCCCAAAATAAAAAGCTTTCTTTTCTTAGGTACTCTACCAGAGTGGTTTATACACACACACACACAGACACACACACACAATTATATATGTAGAATATATATGTGTATATATATACACACATATATACACACACACACACAATTATAAATGTAGATTATTATCCTCCTTACTTATATTTGGGCATTATTTCATTTACTTGGTTTTCTACCAAAGGATTTTGGGTTCTTCCCAATCTTTGGCTTTTACATAGGTGTTGTGAGTACTTGAAAGTCATTGTTTTACAAGTTTGCAAGTACTCTGTAGGCTACATTTGAGGGGGAAATTGCTGGTGAAGAGAAGGAAAAAACACATAATTCTGCTAGATAGTACCCAATTGCCTTCCATAGGTATTAAAACAATTTCACTCCCAGTACCAAGATTGCCTGTTTCTCCACAAGGTTACCCAAAGATGACTGGCACTCTTATTTTGCTGATCTTTTAGGGTGCAGAGTCTGAGTTCGTATTTCTGGCTTGAGTCTGCTTTATAGGCCAGCAGTTTTGTCTCCCTCAAATTCCCCTCAGCTAGTGCACTCTTCAAACAATCACTTGGCAACGAATGTGTGTGGAAATGTAAACTGGACAACTGGGAACCCAAATTCTGCAATGTGAAACACACAAAACTGTCCTTGCCCTGATGAAGCACCTGGGTGGCTCAGTGGGTGAAGCATAAGACTCTTGATTTTGGCTCTGGTCATGCTCTCATGGTTTGTGAGATCCAGTCCCTTCTGGGACTCTGAGCTGACCATACAGGGTCTGCTTGGGGTTCTCCCCTCTCTCAAAATAAATACGCGTTACAAACAACAACAGGTGGCTCAGTTGGTAGAGCATCGGACATTAAGCTCGGGTCATGATCTCGTGGTTTGTGGGTTCAAGCCCTACATCAGGCTCTGTGCTAACAGTCTGCACCTGCTTGGGATTCTCTCTCCCTTCTCTCTGTTCCTCTCCCTGTCTGTTCACTCACTCTCCCTCAGAATAAATAAATAAACACTAAGAAGTAAATGTTCTGTACTAGACTTATTCACTGGATAATTCATAAAAACAATAAGGAAGTACTTCAAATCTCTTCATACACTTTATTTAAAAAATTTTTTTTAGTTTTACTTATGTTTTAGAGACAGAGAGAGACAGCATTCAGAGGGGGAGGATCAGGGAGAGAGGGACATACAGAATCCGAAACCAACTCCAGACTCTGAGCTGTCAGCACAGAGCCTCATGCAGAGCTCAAACCCATGAACCATGAGATCATGACCTGAGCCAAAACTGGATGCTTAACCGACTGAGCCACCCAGGTGCCCCTTCATAAACTTTTTTAAAGGTTTAGGGGCACCTGGGTGGCTCAGTCCGTTAAGCGTCTGACTTCAACTCAGGTCATGATCTATGGTTCATGGGTTTGAGCCCCTTGTCGGGCTCTGTGCTGACAACTAGTTCATAGTCTGGGACCTGTTTCGGATTCTGTATCTCCCTCTGTGACCCTTCCCTGCTTACACTGTATTTCTCTCTCTCTCAGAAAGAAATAAAACATTAAAAAAACTTTTTAAAGACTTATTCATTTATCACAGACAAGACAAACTGTGAGTGGGTGAGGGGCAGAGAGAGGGAGACACAGAATTGGAAGCAGGCTCCAGGCTCTGAGCTGTTGGCACAGAGGTGGATGCAGGGCTGGAATTCCTGAACCATGAAATCATGACCTGAGCTGAAGCTGAAAGCTTAACTGAGTCACCCAGGTGCCCCTTCATACATTTCTAAGGAGTGAAGAGAAGGGAGATTATGAAAACATTCTCTGCGACACTAGCATTACCAGTTTATCCAAGCCAAATGAAGACACTACAAGTAAAGAGAAACACAGCTACCTATTGGGAATATTCATGAAAGCCCATAATAAAGCAAACTGAATTAAAGGCACATTTTACAGCATAATGAAGTGGGAATTCTTCCTGACACTCAACGGTGTTTGAACATATGGAATGTTATACATTTGAGACTGCACATTCACATAATGAAGAAAATGCTAATTGATATAGAATAGGGAATGAGCATTATTTTTAGTATCGCACACCATTTTATGATTAAAAGTGCTCAAGATAGTAGAAAACCACCCCCAATTTAATAAAGGCCATGTATGTATTAAAAGAAGAAATCTCACATATTCAGTAGTAAAAGACTGAAAGCTTCTCTTTTATGATCAGAAACAAGGTAATGAGATAACTTGACCTCTCTCATTAAACACAGTACTGCACATTCTAGTCAGAACAATTAAGCAAGAAACAAAAAAATACAGAGGAGGAATCCAAATAGGAGAAGAAAAAGTATAATTATCTCTTAACATGCAGTATAGAAACCTACAAAATCCTTTTTTTGGTCATCACTGGTATTATTTATATATGCTGTTTTTTTCTACTAGATACTCCCTAAATTCTTTGTTTCAACTTTTTTTTTTTTTTCCTGTTTAGGGACGGGGAGTGCACAAGCCAGGGAGAGAAAAAAATCTTAAGCAGGTCTTTCAGGTGGGCATACCATTCGGGGCTGGGGACTCAATCCCACAACCCTGGGTCATGACCTGAACTGAAATCAAGAGTCAGATCTTCAACCTACTGAGCTACTCAGGTGTTCCACAGCTATAGTCTCTTTATCTACAACCTTGTTTAATGTACAGTGGGTTAAGGTTAGTGCAATGATAACACTTCATTCATTACAGATCACTGTTAACACATGAGAAAGCATTCAGTTTCATTAATTAAAATATATCCAACTAAATATACCCTGAACAAGCCACTGCAAGGTTACTGTATGGTCCTTGGTTAAAATATAGATTTACAGGGGCATCTAGGTGACTCAGTTATGCATCCAACTTCGGCTCAAGTCATGATCTCACAGCTCGTGGGTTCGAGCCCCGCATCGGGCTCTGTGCTGACAGCTGAGCCAGGAGCCTGCTTCGGATTCTGTGTCTACCCCTCTCTCTGACCTACCCATGCTCATGCTCTGTCTCTCTCTGTTTCTCAATAATAAATTAAGTGTTAAAAAAGATTTTTAAAAAAACCAGGTGAAAAATAAAAATCTATAGATTTACAGACTTTAAACAACTAGTCTTGTTTATCTGATATATACTCTGAAAATTGTGGCTCTGTGGTTTTACTTTTAACATTCTAAATATGTGTTGATTAAACTATTTATGTCCACAGTAAGGTTTCTGGTCCACAGTAGTCTATTAATAGTTACATTGGGAGGAGGGGGAATCAAAAGTGATATACTTATTTCAATTGCATAAGTGTCAGAGCTCCTAACCCTGCATGTTGAAGGCTCTACTCAGTAATCTGAGTGTTTTAACTTTAGATCATTATTACTCTCTATAATAACACTCCAATTTAGATTAATGCCTGAAATGTGGTACTTAGTACTTTTCACTGTGAATTCCCAGATGTTTATTTAGATTTCCTTTTTCATGACATACA